CCACTTTTCATTCCCCATTTCTCACTCGCGAACCTATCAGTGATATGCCATCAACGCAGTTTTTTTACGTTCTCCCTACGGAGGAGAGAGAAAGCTAGGTACCGCTGCGCGAAAGCACACCGAATTTTCGGCAGAAAGCCTCATTACAAGGCCGTGGTGAAAAATAAAGTACAGTTGCTAAATTTCAAAAACTACTCACGTGGTGTTTTGTGGGTCCTTGTCACCGAAAAATCGAAGGATGTCCGTTCGTTCTTTTCGTCCGACCGTCCCTTTCTTCTACCGTCCGTCTGTTAGTCCGGCCATCCTGGACAAAAAACAGATTAAACAAATGGTTCGGTATTACGGATGCACAAACGAAATTCTTTCTATTCTACACTTGGGTACGTAATTTAGTATGTATTTAGACAAAAGTTATCCACTTTTTGGTATTATCATTCTGCCTGAGGTACCCCAAGAATGTTACAAATTTAGCATGTGGAATTCATTAAATAATTCTTACTTGTCTTTAATATGTTCTAGTTCTAAATTCTGACGAATGTATCTCTTAATATACTTGCTCCATATATGCAAACACATACACATAGCATAAATCCTCGCATACATACAATTACCCTGACTTCTCAGCGTTCTCCTTGCCCTTCAGTCGTCTGTGTCTATGTTGACAAATACTTGAGCCAATCGAATGTCACGATTCCTCCAATTCATGTGAAGTAGGGACCACATATGTTCGACCAAATATATTCAAAGCGGTCTGAGGTAGCCCATGAATTGCATAGATTTAGCCTGGAAAATTCTTAAAATAATTATCGCTTAAATTATTTGTAGTGTTTTATTTCTAAATTGATAAGAATATTTTAACTTAATATACCACTGCATATATAGAAACACATACACATTGCATATATCCTCTCATACAATTACGCTGACATGTCAGCATTGTCCTTGGCCTTCAATCGTCTGTGTCTGCGTTGACTAATACTGGGGCCAATCGAATGTGACGATTCCTCCAGTTCATGTGAAGGAAAGAACTAATGTTCGACGGAGCAAATATATTCAAAGAGATATACCCCATGTATTCTACAGTATTATCCTGGAAATTTTCAAATAAAATCAAGATTTTAATTAATTGTAGTGTTTTATTTCTAACTTCTTACGAACATATTTACATAATATACTTACTGCATACATGCAAACACATACACATTGCATAAATCCTCGCATACGTACAATTACGCTGACTTCTCAGCCTTTTTCTTGCCTTCTCTCGTTTGTCTTTGCGTTGTATC